GAATGGCAATTTGAGAATGTTTGAGATGCGTTTCTCAGCACCCAACTGCAAATTGTTGCTCCAGGATTGGTCTTCAACGGTACGTCAGCTAACAACAGAGAGTAAAGTGATTGAGTGTGTTGACCATTTCACTCACCTGGGAAGTGAATTGGAATCAGCCCTGGTGGCTGGCTCAGTGGCTGATGAAATCTCTGCACGAATACAAAAGGCTCGACTGGCTGGCTTTTGCCAACTTAAGCCACCTATGGTGCCACCGTAATATCTGATTGTCTATTAAGGGTCGCGTGTACTGCACAGCAGTCCGTTCTGTTCTACTGTATGGCTGTAAAACATGACCATTCAAGGTGGAAGACATGAGAAGACTTCAGGCGTTTGACCACTGTTACCTTCGTAGTATAGGTTGTATTCCGTGGTGTCACGTGAGTAACGCAGAAGTCAGGAGTAGAGGTAAATCAGTTGACGAGGTTGTGAGGCTTCATCGACTGAGATGGTTGGGACATGTGTTACGTGTGCCTAGTAGCCGATTACCTTGTCACACAATGTTGATCGAAGTAGGTCCAGGCTGAAAAAACGCTCTAGGCGGCCAGACTAAAACATGGCATCAATGAAGGAAGTCTTTGACTGTTGGTCTGAGCTATGTGGTGCCATGCAGATCGGGTAGTTGGACAAAAGAAACCAGTGGTTGGAGACTCTATGTGATATGGCTCAGAACCGCTGTAAGTGACGCAGATATTTACACACACTATCCTCATCTTAACGCTAAACCGAATCTCACTATTTTCACATTCTTCCTTTCTCTCTTTTAGTACTTTGTATTTCTTTTGGCTGAATTTTCTTGTCTTCATCTTCCACTTCACTGCCTTTTTATTTGATGTACAGATATGAAGTGTGGCAACTCGGACTGTTACGCAGTAATGCCTGGACGTATGTTTAATAAATGATGATAAGCATATCATATTATATAAAGCGCTACGAAGTTGACCATGTCACATCTGTAGTCAAAGTTATAAACTGCATACTAAACCATTTAGACTCTCTGTCTACGTTTCTGACTATCCTGACACCCATTTCCGTGCATAATCTCGTACTACAGGTGATTTATAACACCTAAAGTACTAAATGGTAAGATACTTAAACCACGCAGAACACGATCAAATTTGTCACGGAGTTTGAGTTTACATATGATTATGAATGTCTTGCTGATGAGAGCCAACAAACGAGGAACTTAAATCAGGCGTGACTTTCTGCTAATTGAATGCAAATAGCTAAGACAAATTCAAATATTTTCCAGTCCGTAAGGTGTCACGGTACGTAGTTTTCTGAATTGTTCTGTCTTTTTGTAATACTTCCATCCCGAAAACTGATGTTGCTATCGTGTTTATTCATAGACTCGATATTCACAAAAATATTTTGAAAATTTGGAAATATGTTAGATGCCTAATCAATATCCTTGCAAATTACAAAAATAACTGAGTCACCTGTAAGATGGAAGTTTTTCTGTCTAGGCACTCCATTTCCATCCACTCCGTCAGAGGTTCGAACTGCGCTCCGCCTACCGAGATCTAGTTACCCGTTTTGTATCATTATCTCTTTCTTACACAATAGGTTTGGCTCATTGCCTACTGCACAAATTTGCGCATGGTTGCTGAATTTCTCTGCCCCCTTCTGTCCATGAATTGTGTTTCATTCATCTTATTTCTGTATTAGCCACAATTTTTCAAGCGAAATTAAGTTCGAATGTACGCTTCATGGACTTACAAAATCAACGTATTTGTAAAGTTCACTGTTAGATCAAAATTGTACTTCTTTCACGTAAATGATTAGAAACTATTTTGTATTTTCGGCATGCAAAAGGGAAAAAAAGCTAGATCATCGACAAGTGATTTCAATAATTAGATCAAATTGGGTTTCCACAGGTATAAGCATCATATACCGAAAGATGTAAGGAATTTGTTCAGTGTTCAGCTTGCCTAAATTCTCATAAAACTGGAATGTATGCTGCATAGCGCTACCTTTCGCTGTTGATTTTAAATTGTATGTGGCATCCTTTAATTTGTAATGGTAATGTTTATGTGTTTTATTATTTGTATTTGTTTGTTTTCATTGCTTCTGATAAGAATGTGCAGCCTGTTTTGTCTCACAGCTTTGTTACGTATTCATCTACGGGGTCACTCCACCCCCTGAAGCACTTTCTAAGAATATATGAATCAGAAATCACTAATTCACTAGCATAACTAGTGGTGTCATGTCAAGAAATAATCAATTTTCGTTAGTCATTACTATGGGTGTGAAAAGCATCATGGCTTAGTTAGTTCTTTACTGCCACTGGTGTCACTAAGCCATCTTAAAGTGAACAGTTAGTGTTGGGTTGTTAAAAATTGGTCTGTCTGACGGACAGCACTTAGTGGCGAATGCAGTGAGAAGAACTGCAGTCAATTAAGTGTTGTAACACCAATTCTTTACCACCAAGTATACGCTATAACGTGTATTGATAAATGTAAATTAAGGCCCTACTCTAGATAACCATATATGTGATATGGCCTTACTAATTGAGATCAATAAACAGAAGCAAAGAAGTTGGGAGCAATACCAAATTATTCATAAAGATTTACAACATGGATTAGTGCAGCTTACTTGACTCTGAGGTTTTCAAATTTCTATGATTCATTTGAGGATGTTCAGTCGATTTTATTGTAAACTATCATAGCTTTATCATGTCTTTATTCGTATCATTAGAAAGTCTATTTTTAATTGTTTCTTGAACTATTAAAGCTTATGGTAGTTTTGATATTTACCCGTTCTAAGAGAATCACCAGCTGGACTGAGGTAATTAATACACTTTTCCTGATTCTGTGTGGAATCTACTTCGGGATAGGTAAAATGGAACAAATGAAATGCACTCAGCAGCTTTACGCAATGAGTCAAACCTGTTGTGTGAGGGACAATGATACAACATGGGTGCTTGAACTTTAGTAGGTGCAGCGGGGTTCTGACCCACTGCCCAGTGATCGAAAGTCATCTCCCTAAACCAATGAGTAACATTCTCACAAGGTTTTCACCTGCTCATAAACAATCCTTTATCAGAGACCAATATTTACTACTAGGTTGCTATCTGGGAAGAGAACGCAGACGAAACTAATAAAAGGTGATCACGGAGATTTAATTACGAAAGAAGAGAAACAAAGGAAACAATGGGCCGACCACTTCAAGAAACTCTTGAATCGACTACCACCTGCACTTCGTCCAGAAATACCACCTACAGCCGCTGAACTACAAGTGAACATAAAACCTCCAACAAAAATGGAAGTCCTGAACGCCATAAAGCTACTGAAATGCGGGAAAGCAGCAGGACCAGATGGGATCCCACCAGAAGCACTGAGAACAGACGCAGAGACAACAGCGGACATGCTCACACCACACCACTAATGCAGAAGGTGTGGAGGGAAGGGAAGGTACCTGGCGATTGGAAGAAGAGTTACCTTGTCAAACTGCCGAAGAAAGGAGACCTCAGTGTTTGCAAGAACTGGCGAGGAATCACTCTCCTGTCCACCCAAAGCCAGCAAAATATTAAGCCGCATCATCCTGGAGAGACTAAAGGATGCACTGGATTCAAAACTACGACTGGAACAGGCTGGCTTGCTGGCTTCAGGAAGTACAAATCATGTGCGGACCAAATTGCAACACCACGCTAGGCATCAACATAGAACAGAGTATAGAATGGTAGTCAACTCTCTACCCCAACTTCATCGACTTTGAGAAGGACTTTGACAGCGTCGACCGAGAAGTAATTTGTCAGGCAGTTGCTTCAACACTACGGAATACCGCAAAGCTTTATCAGCCTCATTCAACAACTATATGAAGACACCACATGCCAAGTAATTTACAATGGGAAGCTCAGTGATGCTTTTGAAGTGAAGACAGGGGTGAAACAAAACTGTCTAGAATCACCCATGATATTCCTGATTGTGGTTGACTGAACTGGACCATGCAATAAACAGTGAGGAACGAGAAGAAGGGGATACTCTGGACTGTGGAAAAGAACCTAGAAGATTTGGATTTCGCCAACGATGACTTGTGCCTAATGTCACACAAACTAACAAGATTCGGATTTCCAACACCAACTTCAGTCAAGTCAGTGCTTGTGTATGGCTCAGAGACTTGGCGCGTTACGAAAGACATTTCCAACAAACTACAGATATTCATCAACAATTGCTTACGCTCGCTACTGAAGCTCAGATGGCCAGAAAGAATAAGCAACAAGCAACTCACTCTGGGAACGAACCAACCAACAACCTATCGCTCAACAAATATGCAGAAGGAAGTGGAGATGAATTGGGCATACACTGAGAAAGCCGACTGGGGACATCACGCGCCAGGCCAGTCACTCGAGTGGAATCCCCATGGGAAGCGACGAGTTGGGCGTCCGAGGTGAGGGTGACATGGAGGAGATCGTATGAGGAGGAAATGAGAGCTTGTGGGCTGTCGTGGAGCCAGGTTCAAAAGATTTCAGAGAACATAGTGGAATGGAGACGTGCTACTGAAGCCCTATGTTCCATTAGGAACCCAAGGGACTAATAATAATAATAATGTTTACGACTGAAATTATGTCATCGATAAACATCTACAAATTGCTGATTGGACTACTATAACATCTGAGCCACATTTTATTTGGTGTTGATGCAGTGTTTCTTTTGATCGTTTTTTTGGTACAGAATAACCTCAAGTTTTGTAGGCCAATTCACATTCGTTCTATCCATCAAGAAATTGCAGAGCATGCTACTCGTTCAGTCAGTCAGTTGAGATCACCTTGGGACCTGATATTACTGCGTAACGGTTGACCATGGCCTCATGTGTGTAGTCTTTTCAAGGAACTTATGAACTTAGTTTATTTTGAGTAGTGTGTATACATTTATTGGCGTGAAATGAGACAATTAGTGCTTTCCATTGAGATCAGTTGTTAATTATGTGTTCTTATCTTGTCTATTTTGTAATTAACACAGCTGTAAAACAACGTCTGCAAATTTACAATAGTCCATATCACAACACCTTGGATTGCCTACGTCGAGTATGTTTAACCGAGGGACCCAGTGCATTGTACAGAGCTTATTTTACACAATTATCAATGAATATACCCTATCAGACGATTCACTTTGTATGTTATGAACATGCACAAAGTGTGCTAAATCCTAATCGTCAGTATCTACCCTGGACTCATGTTTTATCAGGAGGTATAGCTGGCTGTTTTGCTGCCGCTTTCACGAACCCTTTAGATGTTTGTAAAACTTTGTTGAATACACAAGTAAGTATCTTGTTATTTGTTATTAAAAAAAAAACTATCAAGTTGGTTTCACCTGACTTATTTATGTGTTTCGATTGTTGTTGTCCTACTGATTCATCAGTTGAGATTCGTGAATTTACTCATCATTTATATACACCAAAGCATCCTGTATTACAGTGTTATAAACTTAGATATTCTCACTGAGGTATAAAGGGAGAAGGACTTCAGCGAACACACTTGTTGTCTTCGATATTATCCTCTACAGTTAAACAATCGTATTTAAGCATAATTGGTGTCCAAATTTATTGATAAAAAGTGACAATATTTGCTAGTGAATAGGTCTTAGTAGGTTGTAGCCAGGCAGATAATATATGAACGGAAGTTACATGAGAGACATGGAAATAATTTGACAAGATGAACAAGTGTGAGCTGAAATCAAGAATTCAAAAAAAAAGAAAGAGTAAACCGTTGCCAGTAAAAGTGCACCGGAACTGTAATAACAAGATAAAACTCGAAAAGGATTAGTTAAACTTAAGAATTGACAAGTTTATAAATTATGTAGTCAGTAGGGACTTAATAGCAAGGTTGTTCCTGCATATACAACTCTGGTTCCAGTTTTTGTGTTGCCAGAGATTCAGCAGTCCAATGCAAGATAGACGTTTAATGACACTCCTCCTCATCTTCTCGAACTGTATGTTCCCTGTCAACTAAATGTTGGGATGCGAGGCTATTGATGAGTCTGTGTTGATTTTCGCTGATCCATGCTGGATAATGTTGGCATCAGTACTGGACAACCTACCTATATAGGTCATTGGCTTATGAACTCTACTTTCAACCAACGCGTTTACGGTTCGATTCCTCCTCCACCGACCTCTGTCTGAGCAGCCGGGTAGTATCATAGGCCGTCACATAACAAGTGCGTCTTATAGTCTTGAACATCAGCATATGCTGAGTTACATTATTTATTACCATGAGATCAATTACTAATTTCTCATTCCCTTTCACATTGATAACTCATTCCGTTACGAATTCTTCAATTCTCGATTTCAGTCCACACTTACTTGTTCATGTTGTCAAATTCCTTTCATGTTTCTTACGTAACTTTCATTCCTACATTATTTTCCTGACCACAACCTACCAAGAACTATTCTGTGACGACTACTGACTATTTTTAATGGATAAATTTGCACACTAAATATATTTAAATGTGATTGTACAGCTACTGATGATGGTATCACGGGAAACAAATTTATTCAGTGAATTTCTTTATTATTTTCTATGACTCGAACGAATGTCGTAAATGTAAAAGCACATCTAGGTAAAATCAGAAGAACGAAACTAAAGGAATGAAAGAAGCCCAACAGTTATAAATAGACTAAATGTAGTCAAAGGAAGAAAGTCTTATGCTTGTAAGGTTTTCGAGTTGTACATGAAGATCAGACGTAGATATATCAGTATTGCTGCGATCGGATCTCCTCCATTTTACTGGTAGATTCTAACTGTTTATGATGGTTGTCATTGATGCAAGTTGGGAATCAGATACCTTTTCTTATGCTAGGTCGTGAGCTGTATTTATTGTGTGTAGGGGTTAATGATTCTACGTGGCGAACCGAACGTTAGTAGGGATTGTGGACCTCGAATCCTATGGCCCAGCTGTTTGAACGACAGACAGATAGATAGTCAACGTAAACCTTGCACACAAGCGCATTGGTTCAAGTTGCCACACTTCACAGTAGCATACAAAGAACAAGATGAAATAAGAGTGATATCAAGGTCGACAAAGTTGTGTGAGACGGTAAACAATTTAAAGATAACGGTTAGTGCGAATATTCAAGCTTTAGAAGACATCGAGCAGTGAACGCATTTTCTCAGCTGTGGCCGATTTTGAACCATGTCATCAAGAGTCTTCAACTACTGATTCCTATGGTCTCAAGAATGTCCGGCGCTTATCACTAGATACTGAGGGTCCACCTAAGGGAGTTGGAAAACCTTGGTTTCAAACCAATGATACACGTAGGCTCGGGGTTCCAGAAGGAACAAATGGCGTATAAACCTATTTTGGTTACTGGCAACCATGGGATTGCAGCTCTTCGTGTTGCTCCACTACTTTATGGGTTAGACTTGAAGTCAAAGACTCGAGGGGTGGTTCCCTAAGACAACCACTTGGTTTGGTCGGCGAGCCCAGACAGTATCGCAGCCCTCATATGATGAAGTGTGAAATTGCAGTACAACATGAAGATTTTGAAGCGCTCACCTAACTTTTCTATAAATATTCAAGCCTTCCGAACTGCAAACACTATAACTAATTGTTCAATTTATTGTTATGTTGTTTTGTTTTTCCATATGAACTGTATAAAGCTGCTCTCCGTTGAGATATCTGACAGCTGTCCTGAAACCATGTATACCGTTTAAGCCCGCCGTCTTTAACTTTCTCACCTTGATGCAGATCGGACAACGGGAATATTTGGCTATGACTTTGGGAAGCCTCGCTGTTGGTGTATGCTGCATCTTAGAAACTCGCATACTAGATTCCAGTGAAGTGCTTCGAACAAGTTTCTCATCTACCAGCTCGAAAAGTATGTCTCATGTGCGCTTGTCCGGAGACCCTGTGGCATTGGGCAACTGGCGTCGATGGTGTCGGTATCCGTGTCTCATTGGTCGCTAGAGTTGAAGCTGCACCACCCGACTGGATCCCAACCAACAGTCGTTTGTGTGTTATTAGGTTAGAAAGTAAAAGGTAACCGGCAAGATAAACAATGTCTCTTTGTTATCTTTGCATATACTCCGGCAGATTACAGGCCAGATGCAACCAAGCATGAGTTCTATCATCATCAACTGAGTAACCTTCTACACCAAGTGCGCTCGACAGATATCGCTGTGCTAGCTGGGGACTTGAATGCACAGGTCGGGCGTCTAGTCTCAGATGAGATCCGTTGGGGTGGCCGATGGGGACTATTTGCTGCAGGTCGGATAGTGGTGATCTTCTTCTGCAGCCTTGAGCAGATCACAACCCATTTCTAGCCAGCAGAAACTTCCAGGACAGTCATTGCCGTTAGGCTGCCTGGCATCCTCTCTCTACCACTCAAGCCTGGACTCAAGTAGATCATATTGCAATCAGCTTCCAATAGCGTAGGTGCATACGTGACTGTCGCTCCTTATGGAGTACTTGTCTGGACTCTGATCGTGCTTTAGTGTTTGCTAAGGTCATATTGTGTTTTGGTGGTCATCAAAATAGTCGTCCTAAACAGGTAGATGCAAGCTAATAAGTTGCACCTAATATTGTTACTAAATGCCTATCCGAACTAGATTTAAGGTTAGCTACTGATCCTCCAGGAAATGTAGAGAAGCACTGGCTTCACTTGCAGGATCCCATGAGAAAGGCGATTAAAGCTGCTGGGGGCTTAAAAGAACGTCCAGCTAATAAACATTGATTCTCTATGACATCTTGACGCCCGTCAAAGCATTACGGCGGAGGAAGAGTACAGTGGTTTGCGTAAGTCTCTTACGCGAAAGATTACTGTAAGGCTTGGTGATCAGTACGCACAAGTGAGATGGAAGCAAGGCTACATCGAACAATAACTGGAAGTTGTTCCAGCTCATCCGAGCCACTGGTTACAAGAAGCCTGGTGTCAGTGAGATGGTAGATGGTACGCCGTTAAACAATCTTCAAAGAAGCCTAGAACGCTGGACGGAGCACTCCGAAGATCAGTTCAGCTGACCCACAGCTCCAGCATTATCAACTTCAGTGTATCGTGCTCTATCATCAGTTAATGCTGGCCCACCTTACGAAGTGAAAGTCCATAAGGAACTGCAAGTTCTGAACGTCCCAATGCACCTGGCGCGGACATCTTACCCCGGCTCTTTCTAAGGATGGAGGAGCAACCTTAGTCAGGGAACCGACTAGATTGTTTGAGAAAGTATGGCAGACAGAGTGTTCCATCCCTCTGGGATGACGCCATCATTGTGCCCATCTTTAAAAACGGTCTACGTAATATGTGACAATCAACGGGGTATTAGTCTGTTACCAGTCGCGTCGAAAGTATTGACTGCTATCATACTTCGAAGACTTTGCAAAACACGTGAGGAAATGATTGGCAAAGAGCAGGCTGGGTTTCATCCGGGTGGTGGACGCATTGATCATGTGTTTTTACCCTCTGCCAAATGCTTAAACTTCGTCACACCTATTGGAGGCCAACATTTGTCGTGTTTCTTTATATTATGGCTGCCTTCGATTCGCTAGACAGATCTGTACTCTGGATTTTTCTCTTAAAGAGGGCATGCCTAAGTAACTCATTAACATCCCGAAAGCCCTATATAAAAACACCTCAGGCAAAGTGAGGGGATAGAACCACTTGTCTCCATTGTTCCAAACAAGAAGTGAGGTTAGATAGGGTTGTATGACTTCTTTATTCCTCTTTAACTTTGCCTTCGATGACATTATTGAGACAGTTTTGAAAGAAGTGCGTGATGGTGGTGTAGATCTGCTACCCGGAGAACGGCTATTCGACCTTGAATGTGCGGACCTTATCGTCTTACTGTCCGATAACTCATGAGCTACTCAAATCGGACTTAAGTGTGGTATATGCTTTGCATCATCGAAGTGCAAAGTACCTTCACGAAATTGGCAAGAGTCTGTGCCTGCACTCACCCTCGGTGGTGAGCCATTGGAAGTAGTCGAAACGCTCATGTATCTGAGTAGTTATGAGTGATGAAATCTCTAACCGGATATCGAAAGCCAGAGTGGCATAACCTGTCGATTCAGCCCATCCCTATTGTGGTTTTCTTTCTTTGTTCACTTCCCTTCACTTTATGTCTTCATAGTGTTATTATATTATTTTGTTCGGCGGCGCATTTCTTGGTACCCTTTCTATACCATGTTTGTGTTTGAATAATAATAACATAATGATAAAAATAAAACAGTGGTCTCTGGGACCCTAGTCAAACAGTCCACATCTCCCCACACAGCTCAAACAGACAGCCAAGGACTTCATTGAGTGGTACCACGTCTTTGTCTGGCCACCCTCAACCTTCTTCCAACCTAATCCAACTCCTATCTGCATTGCACGTCGATGTAGGAAGTGGCTTGGTGTGTGCAACACATAACCAAGCCACTTCATTCGATGAAGGTTCAGAACCTCATAGATTATGTAACTGTGAGAAATTAGCGAATTTCCATTGACTAGATGAGTGAAATGAATAATGTGCACCTTAGAAAATTTTGATTTGAAACTGAAAAGCAGAACAATCGTAAAATATAACGTAGCGAAATGTTAAATCTCTTTCAGTTTGACATTGCCAACTATGTCCTATATATGCTTTCAAAAGGATAGTTCTCATTGTTACACTTCCTTAGTGATTACACTTTACGGAGACAATGGAAATGTTGTTACGTCACCTACTTTAACCTTTCTTCTATTCTTTTACATTCCAAACCACAAGTTCGCAATCTGAACAGCTCGTTTCATCATAATGGCTCAGTGAAGCTAACAGAGGTGGTCATAGAGTTGATCTGAAATAAACGGTATTAGGGTTGTTTTGGCAGCCTCTATTGACCTTAATTTTCACTTATCTTTCAAAAGGATGTACACTTATATAACAACAGGGATTGTGAATTTAGCTTTGAATAAATCTTTGTGTATCGTTATTCAGAAATGTCATTCGATGGTTTTATACTAACGTATCAAGTAAGTACATAGATGTTATTACAGCTTTTACTGTGAATTAGCATGTACCGAAAACACTACTAAATGCATCCACCTTGATGACTAACACTGGAATCTGGGACTTGTTAACTGAATGTACCTGCACCCCAGAGTGGTGTCGCTCCCACTGAGACTCGAACCTCAATACCCTACGCTTCAAACGCAAGAGCGCTATCCACTAAACCACTGAGACACGGGAGCCACCTATTATGCAGCGGGTATCAGTTGTTGTTTTGATACTTATAATTTCCCGTTTGGTGTTTGAAGCAATAGGTACTGGGTCTGAGTCTTAGTGGGGATAACATTGTCCACTGAGGTGCAAGTACAGCCGGCTGCCAAGTCCGCAGTCGGACGAAACACGCGTCCTAGATTCCACTGCTTGTCATCAAGGGGATTGCAAGATCATGAATATCTGGCAGCATCGAGGAATCCGCGTAGGCGCTCACCTTCCAAAGGAGGTCTAGCAATTCGATCTTGTATAGCTACAGTAAACGACAAGTACCAAACAACTACCAAATGCAATTCGTTTACGTCTTTGCATAGCTGAAGCTGTAGCTATCATATCAAACAAATTTATACTCCGCATTCAGAATGAATGTGTTTAGGCATCACTCCTCCCTTAGTCTTTCATATACTAAATGATTTCCGTACTAACATGTTTTCCTTCAACTTTGTCTTTTGCCATAATTCTAGTTTTAATATTTTGCTTTGTTTCTTGTTTTAACGACCATTTGAAATTGTTGTTTGTCATCTTCGTTAAATTTTTGCATAGACCAACATTAACAACTCTGGTTAATATTACGCTTCGTTACTATAGTACTCTCTTACGATTAGCGGTACACGCTCCGTTTCTATTACCATCAGCCTCGTTCATACGATTTTCCTGTATTACTCTGACTCCCTACCACATACATGTTTTTCCTTCCGTTTTTGCTTGTTGCGGTCATTTTTCGTTCTGCTGTTGTAATGGCTTATAGAAAGTCGTCATGTGAATTGACGACAACTAGTTGTGTCCGCCAGGGAGGTTCACTACCGTTCCTATTCAACTTCGTCATAGGTGTACCAATGGACAACCTGAGGCATATCTGACTTCACAGGAATCGATTTACTCCCTGCAGGTCATCTGGTTGACTTGAAGTATGCAGACAGTATTGTCCTGTTAGGTGAAAACGCTGACTCAATGCAGGGTCTTGTGAACGCGTTGAGCAGAAATCTGAGTATGTTTCCTATGCGTTTCCCTGGCACCTGTGAAATTTAAGGTGATGCTGCAGGACTTGTCTGTTGTAAGTACTCCCAGTTTAATGATAGGGAGTGATGTGGTGAGGTGTGTCGACCACTTCACTTGGAGGGTTGCATCAACCCGAACCGATTCATTGTTGACTAAACCTCATTTCAGATACAGAAGGCTTGTTTGACATTTTCCAACTTGATTGACGTGGCACCGACTAGTGAGATATCCAACTATCTATCAAATGATGAGTATACTGCTCTCCCTTTGGTTCTATCCTGTTATATGGTTGTTAGAAATGGCCGTGAAAATTAGAAGACGTGAAGCGGCTACAGTTTTTTATTATAGGTGTCTTTGTAGCATTGTTCACATTTAGCGGAATCATCGTGTGAGCGATGTTGAGGTCAGGTGTAGGGTATCGGGCAAGATAGTCAAATTGATTGTTGAGGTTTTAAACCTTAGTTGACTGAGATGGCTTGGACATGTACTACGCATGTCGAATCACCATCTACCTCGACGTGTGATACCAGAGGAAGTTGGGTAAGGTTGGAAGATGGTTCAGCGCGGTCAGTTGAAGACATGGTATTGGTCGATGAAGTATCTTACTGATGACGTGAGCTCTGTAGAGGGATGTAGACTACATGGTTCGGGTCCTCGAAACAACAGGAAGTAGTGGTCGAGATTTGTTGGTTTCAGTGGGATAGATGTATTCACTGCTTGATATCTGCAGCTTGAATATTCGCACTACCCGTTATCTGCAGATTATTTATTCTCTCAGACAACTTTGTCTACTTTGTTATCAGTCTTTTTCTATCCACCTGTTGTTTGTGTACTACTGTGAAGTGTGGCAACTTAGGCTGATGCACCTGTATGCAAGGTTCTACTTTGGTTTTATGAGCTAGTCAGTCACTGTCATGTTGAACTCACCATCACAATCGTCATAAGTCATCCAAGAAAGACCAACAAATTTCAAATTGATTTGCTTACACTCTTGAACTCATCTTATATTTTGAAAGAAATGTATGTATCCCAAACTGGACGTTTAATGTGATGAACGCTTATTCGAACCTACAGAAAATCCATTAAATAAAATATTCTCCATTCATATTGACTTTTGTTTCATGATATGAGAATTTTTTTTATCAAAGTCTTTCGATGACCAAGAACTTATTTGCCTGATTTCTTGGTAAATTTTGACACTAGAATTCAACTTTTTGAAAGAAAATCAATTTTGTTGTTGATTAATTTACTACTCAGAAACTATCTTTATCTTTTTACAGGACCAGTGTATTCCTACGAATTTGTATCGTGGTCACTTTTCACAATCACTCAAACCTGAATTCCGAGGATTATTCAGTACAGCTAGATCTGTATATGCAATGACCGGTTTAAAGGGATTCGCTCGAGGTATGAGTGCTCGAGTCCTTACAGCTGTTCCTGGCACTGCATTATCATGGTCAGTTTACGAATATTTTAAGTGGCGTTTAAAGGAACCAGTTAAATCCCGTGGACCTGATTTTGGTGGAGGTGGTGTTCATAAGATAGACATTTCACCTATGGAGAAATTATGTGTAACAGCTAGTTCCAACTGGATTCCTACTGCTACTGATTTAACGTGTACAGCAACAGTTACCAGCTCTCGAGCAAGTTTACGGGAGAAAACACGCTGAGTCCGCCTACTACAGCTCCTGATATTAATTCACTAGATACTTTAAAGCCCAATACTGCATCGAACCGCCTCCTGTGATGGTCAGTCGTCAACATACACATCCTGAATGTTTATTCGCCTACTGAAGTGTATACACAACAACCAATCCCCTTAATCCTACGGTGGTCGTAATTATTCCCTCATACTACAAGAAACTATGTATAAATATCTTTTACATTATTTATTTTATAACTAGGCATCGTTATTTCGTTTATCGTCTTCGGAATTCTTTTAATCCATTTGTACAAAATTGCACCGACTTGTAGTGTCCTCATTTTATCTATCTGTGTGTCAGCCTGTTTATTTCAAGGAAACGAGATCAAGAACCATAATATTATATAAATAGATATTTTAAAGTTGGAGGTTTTTTCACATTGTTGTATATTTGTGGACATTTGAAAGGACCTTACGAGTAACGACGAACTGGATGATGACGCTACTAACCATTCGAGGGGACTGGTGTACAGCTTTGTGTATTGACATGTGTGTATGTATTCACGTTCTCCCACTTTTTAACGCTCCAACGATGAAGAATTCACAAAAATGAAATACTAAATGATTTGAGAAAGTGCAGTATTCAAGACTGAAAGTACATGAAAGAGTGGTCAGTTTCAGTAGAGCTGTGGCTCAGTGATTTAGGGAAATGACTATCAGCTGCCGAGTCACGGGTTTGAGCCCCGCCCCACCTTCTGAGGATTGGGCATTCAGGTGGTATCACTAACCCTAACACAATGGGTGTGGCTCGTTGCTGACTGCTGCAAGGATGTGCCCAAGGTCGCTGAGTGCGTTTCGTTTCGATGTCAGTTTCAGGACGTATTACCTAGTCTTCAAACAACTACTTTTACGTTTAATTTGAAAACAACAGTAGAGTATAAATCAAGAGTTGGTGTTTTCATGGCCTAACATTGCACTCTTATCTCCGTTTTATGATACTTCATTGATTCTACTACTCTTCAGTCAATGCAGTTAGTTAGACAGTTGTAACATATGTAAATTGACTTACCCTCCCCAACCAGAATTCTGTGTTTAACATCAACATTGGTAACTTGGTGGTTTCTTCTCGCTGTAGGTCATTGGCTTAGACACTTGATTTCCGACGGACAGGTCACGGGTTCGAACGCAGCTCCACCTACCGAAGTTTGAGCAACCAGTTAGTACCATTATCCCTCGCACAATATGTATGGTTTATCGCTTTCTGAATGAATGTGCAAAAGGTTGCTGAAGTGGGTTTTGACTTTTTTCTTCTTACTTGTGATGCTCTGAAGATATACATAATTCAATCTTTGATAGTTATGTTTTTTCAAGTGAACTTTGGGTCAAAGCTCTGTATTTCTCGACATGTTTATCTCGTCGACCACACAGTTAGTATAGGTTGGTGAATACATTCATTGGATTGTTGGTTTTAGAAGTGTTATCAATCCTTAAACAATAGGCCTGATTCACAGCTTACTATAGAACCCTCCACATATTATCCAGTCATCTAAAACGAAGGAAACTCACCCAGCTGTCTTGTTCGCATCCGTTCAGTAGGCGATGAACGACACCTATTGTGCGAGGGCTAGGGACACTACCTTGGTATGTAGAGTGGGGCTGGAACCAGTGACCCAACGGTTGGTTGTCGTCTCCCTAAACCACCGAGCCACAGTTTTCGAAAATGACATCGTTGGACTCAAAGGGGGGTAAGTATTTTAGTCAATGTATCTCATTCAAGCTGGTACATGTGTTTTCTACTTCATCACTTTCCAGCTGGCTCGCCCAATTACAAACCCATCTTGTCGATAAGTCAACAGATGTATTGAAATTCTTTCACTTATTTTTGAGTCGCATGTATTGCACCCACGACCCGGCTAGGGGTCGAACTCAGGACAGTCGCGCTATGTCGTGAATTGACAGAAGTTGGGAACTGTGAACCACTGGAAACCGACCCAGTGGCTGAATGGTTAGCGCGTTCGCCGTGAGACCTGAAGGTCCTGAGTTCGACCCCTAGTCGGGTCGTGGGTACGTACTGCTGAGGAGTCCCATGCTAGGACGAAACAGCTGTCCAGTGCTCCCAGATTCCCAATGGTCCCCCAACTGATGTCAGTCCATGATGAATACTACTTCTGAAAGGGAATATATTTCTTCACTCAATCAGTCTTTTTCGCAATATATAGTTGCAAACTGTAATGTTCTGTAGGTTAGGATTCAACGCAGATTTAAAATCCCCAAATCATTGTGAAGCCGAATACATTTATTTAATGTGCCAGATTTCTTAACTAAACAGTAACGAAAAAGATTGTAGGATCAGAAAGTAAAAGAATGAGGATGTAATGGTCTGCAGCCGACCGAAGTAATAATTATTTGCCCTTATTTGAACACAACTGGATTGATTTCTAATCATCTTGCCTGGCCTTTATTATATCTATATTTCACACTGGCATGCGGTTCTGTATCAGCCACACTCTACTAGTTAAACTGTAATATTGTGTACCGGTTTAAACACATTGCGTTATGACCCTTACTTGATGTTTAATGGAATGTATTGATAACTGGCTGCCTAGTTGAAATGAGCTGAAAGGAATTGAAAGTTGACCACCTAACAGTGGAACCGAAATCCCAAATACTTATAACCAGCGATTTCGTGGTTTGGTGAACCTTCAGCGACTGAGGTAACTTGGATATGTATCCTTAGCCACCGTATACCTCCATATGCCATGCTAAAAGGGATTCGATTAGATTGGGAGAGGATTCGGGTTGACCAAACCAAAATATGACACCAGTTCATGGCTGTTGGTCTTAGTCGTGTAGGGAGATGTAGACTGTGACTGAGGTCCTCGACATCATAGCAATCAATGGTTGATGACTGTTGGTGAAATGGCTGAAAATCGGTAACAATGGTGCTGATGTATTCACCCCTTGATATCTCCGAAAGCCTGAATATTTGCGCTAACTTTTAACTTCAAATTCCGTTCCCTCTCATATGCGTTTGTCTAGTTTGATGTGAATCTTTTTGTATCCACCTTTTATTTGGATGCTGATGTGAAGTTGCCTTGTGTCAACCTGAACTAATGCGATTGCGTGCAAGGTTCTACGTAGATTTCGTCTATCCCTTTGCTATTGTATTTGTTTAATTATCGTAATATGACCTCTACCTCACTAAGCCAACCAACATCACAAACCGAAGCAGACGTTAACTGAATGTGTAAAACACTTCTTCATACTGGCGATTAATCAATCTTAATTTCCTGAAAAGCTGCCTAGTCTTGGATTTCCAGTGCTTCAAAAACGTTAGTAGCTATTGAGGTTCGAAAGTTATAGCTAACATTTGTGTAACAGACATTATACACACTGATTACTGATTATTATTTCTCCCTTAAGTTCCTAGTGGAACATAGAGCTTCGGTAGCACGTCGCTACCTCACTCCCTCCTTTGCAGTCTTTTTAACTTGGCTCCACAACTGCTAGAAGATTTCATTTCTTCCTCCATGTCGCTCTCGCACTCCCAACTCGTCGTTTCCCCTTTGGGTTCCACACGAGGGCCTGACCTGGCGCGTGATGTCCCCAAAAGATCTTTTCACTGTATGCCATTCCAATCCATCTCCACTTCCTTCTGCATACTTATTGAGCGATACCTTCGTGGTTGGTTGGTTTCTTCTTCCTTCCCAGCACAGTTATGCAGGTTTCCTTCCACGTCCCTTTCAAAGAGTTCCAATGTTCTTCCACACAGGTTCCTTCAGACTGTTGCTTAATGCCTCCCACTTTTTCCTGATGATTCACAACGTGAAGATGTCCTTTTGAGTTTCGTCCTTCAGTTTCTGTTCTGCGTGCTGAACTTCAACTGTGGTCTATCATCACCAGCTTCTTTGAAGGCTTTCAACTTGATTTTGAAGTTAGGTTCCTTCCACCAGATAGTGATCGGTGTAAACCTACATCTGCTCCTCTTCTTGATCTTGTGTCCAGTAAGCTGCGTCTCCACTTTCTTCAGGTTGAAATGAAGTCAATCTGAGTTTTAGTGTAGTGTATCCATTTGGTGAAGTCCGTGTCACTTTGTGAATATCCTTGTGTTTGTACACACTGCCTCCAATCACCAAATCGTTGAATGCACAGAATTCTGTGAGCAGTTCTCCATTCTCATTCACTGATTCACTGAGTGCTTCTCGACCCACAATGAGTTCTCTTCCTGTGTTGTCCGCTCCTAGTTTGACATTCGTGTCACCCATTAGAATGAGTTTTGATGTTGCCATCTGGGGTGAGGTCTTGTCTTGTACTGATTGCAGTTGTCTGTAGAATTCCTCCTTCTTCTTTTGATCTGCATTGTTTGTAGGTTTGTAGAGTAGCACTGTATGACTGTAACTTTCCTCCCTCTTGAGTTGAATCTTGCTGTCATGATCATGATGCTGCTGGAGGAGATTGGTTCCCACTGTATGAGAGAGAGCCTTTGATGCTGTTGGAAGTGGGACATCATAATAGCCACTCCCTCAGTGTGCTCATGGTTGTCGTCTGGGTGACAATATAGGAGTAGATCATTGACTCCCCTCCATTTGGCAGTTCGGAGAGTCCACTTCCATTCCATCTACTTTCACAGATTCCAAGCACTTCTATGCCATACTTTCCCATCTCTTTTGCAATCTGGGCAGCCTTGCTAGTTTCAAACACAGTGCAGTCATTCCATGTCCCTATGTTTACTTTTGCTTTCATCGAGAGAGGGGAGACACATCGACCAATTGGCTTCTCGAAGGCTTTCACCGACCGGTGTCACTTCGTCTCTCCGATTCCAGTGAGGAATAAATTTATTTTTTGTATCTCGTCTGTGCTTTGAAGTTTCTTCAGCGGTTTGATTGTTTTTCCGGGGTAGGGTTACTAGCTTTTATGTCCAACCTTCCTTCTTTAATCCAGGCTTAGGAACAGATAGTAAACTAGGTGAGTTTACTATACACTGATAGTAATTCTATATATAGTCTTCAGGACAGCCAGTATATCTAATCAAAAGACAACCTAAATCTGCCAAAAGTTAACCGTCAGTCGTTATATCAGGTTTATTGGAACTACTCTTCATGGGAACTAGTAGATAGTGCAAAATCTTAGCAGAGCAACAGTTCGCATTGTAGATGTACAAAATCTGAGGCTTTTGTGTTGTAAACAGCATATCTTTCCGAACCTGTTCGTCCAAAATAATTACTTGATACACTTATTGTAGATTTATCACAGGATATGCATGACAGTTCATTTAATTAAATGTTAGGCTCGAAAAGATTCATGAAGAACACTTTCCAAGGAGTTGACAAAACTGGCGATGATGGACAGGAACGAGTTGGCAATCCGTTGTAATTTAGTTCACACACATGCAGCTTTCAGTCATATGACATAAATGCTTCTCAGACTTTAGCGTGACGATTACTATCTTCAAACGTTTTTGTAAACTAAAGCAAATACCACTTCACATCTAGAAA